CTTTTTTTTTTTCAAACAAACAAACGTTTACTAAAGAAAAACGATGGCGTCTTGGTGGCATCCACAGCAGCAACAACAACAACAACAGACAGGTGAACCATTTGATTATCCTCATCCACCTCAATCAATGGCGGCATCACCACAATGTTTTTATGATTCACATATGATTATGGTAGAAGGTGGAAATAATGAAGAGTATATGCATACAACTAATAATGGAAATATAAATGATTCAACTTCAATTGATTATCATCATCATCGTCGAAATTGGTTTAATGGGTAAGTATAAAATAATCTTTGGAGATATTTTTTTGCGATTTCTCAAGAATTTCATTGGATAATTAAAGAAAAAAATTGACCATTCATATTCTTTTAGGAGTAATAATGATGATCGTAAAGCAAAATCTCGTGTTGCAGCTAAACATCGTCGTAGTGCAGAAAATAAAGAATTTACTGATTTATCAAAATTATTACCTTTACAACAACAAATAGCTGCCCAACTTGATAAAGCTTCAATAATTCGTTTAACAATAAGTTATCTACGTTTACATGAATTTTTATTACATGGTGATCCATCTTGGCCAAATGAAATAAATGGTAAATTCTTCTCCTTCTTTTTTTTTTGTTAATCTGATAGATTTATAGGAATTCTCACTGGATAAGATATCAAATCCCTAGATAAAATTCTTCTTTTTTCTTCTTCCCATTTAGTACCATCAAGAAAACAAGCATTTAAATTATTTAATGCCGATGAATCATCACAATTATTACAAGTAAAAAATACTAAAAAAAAAAAAAGAAAATGATAAATTAATTTTTGTTTTTCAGTCATTAGATGGTTTTATATTTGCATTGAGTTCTGATGGAAGAATATTGTATATATCAGAATCTGTTTCAAGTAGTTTAGGTTTATCAATGGTTGAAATGACAGGAAATTTTATATTTAATTATTTACATGATGATGATAAGAAAGTTTTTGCTGATGCACTTGGTTTTGAATTATTACCACCATCAAGTCCAACAACAAGTTTAGCAATTGATTTAATGAATTCATCGAATAATGATCCAGATCTTCTTGATATATCGCGTAAGTTAAAGAGGCTAGAATCAATTGGTTTTAGAAAAATTCAGTCAAAGACATGAATACATTATAGATGACATTCTAGGTTTTAGTAGAAAATATATTTGACAGTGATCTAACATGTAGAAGTGTTCTTTTGCACTTTATATATATAGTTAGATTTTTTAGAGAAAAATCAAGAGACAAGAAGTTTATATTTAGCTTTGCACTATGAGAGAGCATCTACTATTTTCTACTTAGACAGTGAAGAAATAAATTTAGGCGCATATTAATGATGATGTCGGATGCGCACGTAATGGCTTTTCTTTTTGTATTGCATTTTTTTTTGTAAAGAGCTTATTGTTAATTTGAATAAGTCGATTCAGTACTAAACGAAATACATATATTTCACTATTTCTGTTCGAGTACAGAAAAATTTTAAAGTTCGCCTTATGCTAATATGTTACATGAATAGATTTCGACAGTTTTTAATTATTTTGGTAAGTAAAACTGTTTTTTTCCTGCTTCTAGACATGATTTGTATCGATATATATGTAGGCAAATATCCATCCAGAACTTGTTGACTTCGACATAGTTTGATTAAGTCTTAGTTAATTAACATAGTAATAGAATATTATAAGAATCAGACTAAGACTAATGATCGTATCTCGATTCTAACCCATTCCGAATGACAGGTGCACCCTGTAATATTTGAAAATATAGATTCAATACTAAATACTTTCAAACATAAATATATTTGAATAGATAAAGAATATGAATATTTTTTTCTAGCCGATCAATGTCCTCGAATGCAAGCACCAACAGATGGTAATCGTTTTAAGAAGAAATCTTTATGTGTTCGAATGCGCTCAAGTTTAACGAAACGAGCACCAAATATGAAAACACCGGGTTATCGAGTAAAAGATATTTTTTCTCTATTTAAATTTCTTTTTATTATTGTATTCTTGCAAATAGTCGGTACAAATAATTGGAGATCATCGTTGGTTACATCCTGATCATCGTCGAACATCCCATAATGGTGATCATTTATTAGGTTTTGTTGGTACAGCAATTATACCAAGTTTAAGTCCATCACAAAATGAATTTCCTATTCCTGAACATCAAAGTGTTATTCGACTAGATGAAAATTTACATATTACTTATATAGATGAGAAGTTCGTGTATTTTTCTTTTTAATTATTATATTTTATTTAAATAAAAAATAGATTACAACGAACATTGAATTGGACAATAACACATGCAACAACATCACTTTATCTTTATATACATCCTGATGATTTACCATCGTTAATAACAGCTCATCGAGATTGTATAAAACTATTTCTTACAAAAATAAATTTTGTTACTATTTAATGTTTTTTGTAGTATCATCACGACAACAGCTTGTATTAAACGTAGTTCGATTACAAATGAATATGGTTTCACCATCACCACAATATCAACGTCGAATAAATGGAAATAATAACAATAATAATAATAATCAACTTATTGTTGAACAAAAATGGATATGGTGTGATTTACTTGCAACAATGATGCAATCGAAAACAAATGATGAAAATTTTGTTATACTAGTTGTAGAAATTATTGGGTAAGAAAATAGAAGACTTTCTATTATAGATTTAAAAAAAAAACATCGCTTCTTTTTTTCAGAGTGGATGATGGATGTATTGAACCAATTATTAATGAAGAGCTCGAGAATGGTTAATATTGAGAATTTAGAAGACAAAAGAAAATTTCTTTTTTTTTAAATTATATTTTAGAATATGCTAATCGAATTACCCAACGCTCACAAGTAAGTCCAACCGATATTGTTGAATCGTCACCTCCTACAGCTCAATCTCGAATTTCTGTTAAACAACAACAACAACAACAACAACAACAATCTCCATATCCCAGTGAACAACAAGCATGTTTTTATCCATCACCACCACCACCACCACCACCCCTACCACCATCTTCATCATTCGCTTCTTCATCTCCACATCACCGACATTTACCATCAACATCAACTCCAAGTCCAAGTCCTTCATCTCCACATTCACCACTATCTACAAATCGACCATCAGTTATCATGACAAAAGGCATGCATTCTCATCATCCTCAACAACAACAACAACAGCAATATCATCCATATCCACATTATGATTGTAATACATTTACACCGCAACAGTATTCATTAGCAACAACTCCAAGTGAACATTGGTATTATCCATCTTCATCAACAAATGTTGGAGGAGAAAATTTTCCTGTATATCATCATTCACATCATCATTCGAGTTGAAAAATTTAGTTTTCTTAGCGACCGTCCTTATTTTTTTTTTAAATTCATTTCGCATGCTCATATTGTGATTGATCGTTTTTTTTTCTGTCGAGTTAACAACTGTTTCTTATATATAGATATATATACGTCGATGTATTCTTGTTGAATGGAACAGTAGAAAAAAAAACTAATAACAAGACTCGAGTTGTACATTATTCTTTTTTTTTTAAATAAAATGATTCAGTTGAATGAAAGTTCATATTAAACATATATGATCTCTATATATGGAATAAATTATAATAATTAAATGCAAGTTTTCTCTATATACATCAATTCTATGAGATATATCGATGATGAAAACTTAGAGAAAGATGAACAACGAATATAATATTATTCAAGAATAAAACATTGTTTATCATTAACCCTGAAAATGATTTTTATTATGGTATTAATTATGTATTTTTTATGTCATTTTTAAATGCCTTAATTTACATAACAAAACGTTAATTAGAGATGAACTTTTTCTTTATGAAAAATATTTATTAGTACATAAAAAATGACTTTTATAAAATATCTCATACAAAAAGTGTCCATGTGTCTTCACTCGATCAGATTTATGACATTAGCAAAAACAAATAGCATTACAATTATTTGTTCTATAAATCATTTTTATTTTTGCTAAAAACTGAATTAACCTAAAGATATATTTCTATAAATTACAGAAAACAGTGTAAATGAATAGAATTGATAAAAATTCTTTTTCTTAAAGTGATTTTGACAAGTTAAGTACACGTGATATTATTTTATATTAATACTAACATTGATAATTTGAAAGACTATTTTTCTATCATTTGTCTTGCAACGAAAATCTTTGAATGACATTATATACATCAATAGAAATAGAACAAATATTCAAATTTGCTATTGAAAATGTGAATAGACATTCTTTTATTTAATTAATAATCACAATGGTACATTTAACTATCATATGAGTGATTCTTTAAATTGATTAAAAGTATGCATCACACTAATGACAAATTCTTCGTTTTATGTTCGATATTACGACAAACAAAGATTTGTTAGCATAACATGAATAAAATATATTGATTGAAAATATGGTATTAATCATCTCTCAGTTTTCGATGAACATCGTGTTACAAATATTCAGGCGGACAGGATTTTCAAAACACGCGTTTACGTGCACCAGTTGGCAACCGCGACTGTGAGTTACTCACACTGATAAATAAAACGCCAGAAATATCATTTTTGACGTAGAAATGACGTCTTCTGAGCGCTGAAACACATTATTTTTTTAAAGTTCAAAAACTATGCGTTTAAACACTCTAAAAATGGCAATTCCACGTCAAAACGACGTTTCTGGTGTTTTATTTATCAGCGTGAGTAGCTCACAGTCGCAGTTCCCGACTAGCGCGTGTTTTTAAAATCCTGTCTGACTGTGTAGTATGGATTATTTTAGCAATGCATTGAAATTTCCAAATTATTTTTATTTTTAGTTTATTCTTAACATATTTAGTTCTTCTAGCGTTTCTTTTGATATTGTATTGTTTTAATTTCTTGATAATCAGTACCTATTTTAGCATATTAGAACTGTTCTACTTATAATAAGAAAAACAAAAACATTGCACTATAACCTAATCACAGGTATCTATTGCTGCTACTTCAAGATCATTTTTAATATTAGTATGAAAATAACAATATGTCTCTGGAGAATTATAGAATCCTCATTGGTAGACTTTTATACTACAGAAAATAAATGACTGATAATGAAAAGATGAACTTTACAAAAAAAAAACTAATTAATAAATAATTATATAAACATCTGGACTAAAAATAAGTCGTATCGTTTTTGATCTATTCATTCAGCGTATATAAAAAGTTTGTGCAATACTTTATTTTTTTTTGACGTGACGATAGAATATTAAATCTATACATCAGAGGAAGATACTTTAATTTATGAAACTATTGCGCTATCTTCTGTAGATGCCACCGGCTGTTGGTTCAATGTCGGTTTTCCTTCTTACTCTCTTTCATCTAGAAGCGCGAGTACTTAATCGATATTGAAAAGAAAGAACAACCTTCATACATCAATAAAATATATTTGTTCAGACAACAAATGAATAGATTCTTTTTTGACATAATATAAACTTTTGTTTTACTTTTCTATTCGATAAAAGAAATAAATATCATAATTGGCGTTTTCCCAAACAAAGGAAACTTCTATTTAGAAGACGAACGGATGTGACTTAGATTTTCTGTCTCATATATGTATATATATATATATTGATCAACGACAAAGTAAGTAGCCGTTCTGTTTCGTGCATGAACTCGACGTTTTTCTTTCTCTCTTTTTTTTTCATTTACTCGTCGTTCACTGTGACAGAAGGGCTAATCACAAAAAATATGGTAGCAGTCGGCAGTACTTCTTCAATATATTCTTTTCTCTTTTTATTATTTTTTTCTCGACTAAAAAGAGCGAGTGAGGGTGTGTGAAAGAGAAAAAAAAAGGAAAATTCTGCTTCTTTCCTTTTGGCAAGTGACAACTGCTGTTACTGTTATATTCGGACCCATCATTTACATTCATTTTGTCTTATATTTATAACGAACCGTTTTACGAAAGAAATATATAAAGATGACAACAGAAGATACATCATCGAATGACATACAACGTAATATGACTAAAGAGAGACGTAAAGAATGGCGGGTAAGAGCGAGTATATAGATCTATTGATTGATGTGATACATATTGTTCATTCACATAGGCTTCATTTTTTTTCCTATACTTTATATCATATTTTATTATCAATTTAATCTTCATTTAGAAAAATATGTCCGATCGAACATTTTCCCTCGAAGATCCACCTAATACTGATGAATTAAATATGTAAATAATTAAAATTCTTTTTTCTTCTTCTTCTTCTTTATTTATTTAAAATAATTTCTTTCTCTTTAAAGTTCTTCGTCAAGTATTCGACACGATCAATCATCACTTGAATGTCGCCTTGAACATATTCCATTTTATTCATGGATTGAATCAAATTTAAGTTTATTTCGTATGAATCTTGTACGACGTGGTTTAAATGAACAAGATATAAATGATAAAGAACAAACAATAATTAATCATTTAAAAGTAGATATTTTATTTATGAAACAAATTGAAAAAATCATTCGATTATTTTTCTTTAGACATGTTTACAAGATTTAAATGAATCGGAAAGTAAAGAAAATAATTTACTTCAAGCACGTATACGATCAATATTAGAAGAATGTACACATTTAAATCGACTTCTTAAATTAGATTATAGTATTGAAGTAAAATTTTGTTTAATATTTTATCAAAAGATAATTTTATTTTTTTTTAAAGAAAATAGAAAATGATGATTTATCTTTATTTGAACAATTAAATCGAGCGAATGATTTACTCGAGAAAATTAATCAAGTTTTAAAAAAGAAATTAGAAGAAATTAATCAATTAGTATTAATTGAAGAAAAATTATGTAACAAACTTGATGAAAAAATGATTAATTTAGATACTGAAGGTAACAAAAAAAAAATTATATCAAAAAAATTATTCTTAAATCTTCTTTCTGTTAAGTTAATGATATGCCTTATGCTGATCGACAAGATATTCTTGAAAAACATATTAATGATCTACAAAATTTACAAGTAAATATTTATGGAAATAAATATAATAATCATTATGATTATTTTTTGTTATATTTATAGAATGAACGTTCATCAGCTATTGAACAAGCACGTAATCAAATACATGAAATGAAAATAGAACTTGACCTTGATAATACATATAATCAACCGGTCGATGATAGTCAAGTACTCAATCTTATCGATGGACCTGTACATCTAATTGAATTATCAAAAACAAATGTTCAACGTTTATTAAATATTTCTAATGATGTACGGGGATATAATTAATAATATTATTATATTCTTTAATTTTTCTCTTTTAAAATAGCTTCATAATTTATATCAAGCAAATCGAAAGAAGGCTGAACATCTTGTTAATACACTTCATGCACTCTATGAACGATTAAATTTAATCGATTCAGACAGACATATTAAGTTACCACTTGATAAGCCTCATCGACCAGCAAATCTTATTCTAGTAAGTATATGAAGGAGAAAAAAAAAGAAATATTGTCTCAATGAGTCTATGTTCATTTTATTGTGTCAGCCTTTTTTTTTAAGTGTTTTTATTAAGAGAGTTCATTGAACGTATGATTAACAGAATTTGCAGTTCATTATCACTTTCATATTCATAGTTAAATGTAATACTTCAAGATGATCGGGTTATTCATATATACATTAATTAACATAACATCAAATCTCTCATTTTTGGAAAACCTTCAAGTCAAACTATCAGAAATGAATGCACTCGTGTTTTGTTAGACTTCATCGTGATGAAACCAGGAGATTTGAATGTAACAATGTGTAGTTAATAGAGCGATCATAAGACGTAGGTAGAAAGTATTTTGAGTGAATTTAAATTTGAAAAAAACTGAATTCATCAAAATTCCGGTTAAACTAAATTTTTTTGAATATAATAGCGTCTTAAAAAGTGAGAATATAAATAATTCCAGATTCTAAGTATTACTACTACTACATACAAAAAAATGTAGGCCATCGAATTGTAATACTGAATTCTGAAACTTAGATGAATTCGGATCGATTATGATGTATGTATATCAGTTAATCGTCAAAATCCATTGTACTTGCTTTTATATTTCCATAAGTATGTGATAGACAGGAATTTTCTTCCAGTCTACAAGATATAGTGCTCTATTTTTATCATTCTGATAGGAACTCGTAAATATTGTTTCAGACTATAATGAATTGTTTGATCTTTTTCTTTTAGTTAGAAAAAGAAATTGATCGATGTAAAGAATTACGACGACAAAACATGCGAACATATATTGAAAATATTCGAGATGAAATATTTGCTCAATATGAAAAATGTTTTTATGGTCGTGAACAAATGGAAAGTT